TGTGGGCTCGCGCGGATTGGTTCCTTAGATTGCTATTCTCTATGCTCCTGTTCCGCCCGCAATATTCGTGTCCTTATCCTCTGAGATAGCACCTCTTAACTTAAAAAAATCTTCACTTTAGAGGTTTTTTCAAACTGCCTCTTATTCAAAGAAAAACGGTACTCGGAGGAAAGTCCTCATGTCCTTTAATCTTACATTGTATAAACTCCCTTAAAACTTTTTGGGTGTGCCATGTCTTGCATTACATCCACTTTACTAGTCAAAATCTATATCCAAAATTCCTTTTTAAGGTAGCTTTCTCACACTAGACCTATCAGGGCTATTTGGAGATAAGACTTTAGTAAGATGATGCCATTAAGATTCTGAGAAACAGTAGTGTTTAGCTGAGTAGGCCTATTAAGCATAACTTTAAATCTTTTATTAGAGATATTAAAGAATTGTATGGCCACACCCTTGATTAGATCTTCAATCTGAGACAATTTCTTACTTAAAAATAAGCTGTGGAAAAAAAAAAGGCTGTGAAATAGTTTTATTTTCCAAAACAGAAGGCCTTGGTTACATTATAGCTCCTCTAAATTCTGTTGACAAAGTAAACAGGCCTCTCCCTAGCCTCTCTCTCTTCCTGTACCTTACCACACACAGCTGAAAGGAGCCAGTGGACACTTTCAACACTCTTCCTGGTAATCTTGGCCAAATTTCCATTTTCATTAGGAATAGTTTTCTCTTCCAGTTAACTCATGACATTTTGGCACTGTTACATAAAACAAATCAACTGTTTTCCAGCTTTCAAAAGCAGTTTCTTAGTACTTCTCCAGGCTCTAAAAAAGTTTTTTTCACTATTTACAAGACTGTGATAACAGCTTCCTCACTTTTCACCCACTTTCCACCCTCCCCCACCCACCTATTTTCCATTCTGAAAGGTCATAACTCATGTGTTCAATTTTTATATGAAAACAGCCCACTTCTAGGTATCTGTTTCTGTATCAGTTAGCCTTTGCTGCATAACAAATCACCCTAAAGCTTGTGGACTTTAAACAGAAACCATTCAACTTGGTTAGGTTTCTTGGGGTCAGTAGTTTAGGCTGGGCTTGGCTGGCTAGGTCTTCTCCTGATGTCACTGGCAGCTCAACTATGCTGGGTAGTCTAACATGTTCTTACTCAGACATCTGTCCCTGGGTGCAGGTGCTGGCTGGGTGACATATCTCCTGCTGATCAGCCTGGGCTTCTTCATGTGGTAGCAGAAGAATTCCCAGCATCAAGAGAGGGTAGTTGCAGTGCTCAGGGCTTTTCACACCTCTGTGCATTTTAGGCTTGCTAATATCTCACTGACCAAAGTTAATTGCATGGCCACGCCAGAGGAGTCAGTATGGAAGGGAACCTCATAAGGGTGTGGATACCGCAAAGTATAATTCATTAGTGACCATAACTTGGACTGTCTACCAGGAAGAATTTGTTGACAGCCTGGGACAAAGTTATAATGCATTGTTTTATACTCTGTTAGCACCCTGTACTTCTCCTTAAACACTTAATTGTATAATTTTATATTTAACTTCTGACTCCCTAGCTAAAGGTATGCTGGTTGCCATAGGGAAGGGAAGTAGGTGGATGGTCAAAGAAGGTGAAGGGGATAAAAAGAAGATAAATGCATGTTACTGGGGACAAAGACAGTATCTTGCTCACTCCTCTATCTGTAGCACAAGGAGAATGTTTGTGCACAGTAAGCACTTAAATGTCTGATGAATGAGTGATAGAATAGAAGAGTTCTAAAAGGAAGCTTTATAGTCTTCACACGTTGTTTCCATTTATCAGCTAACATATCTGAACTTAGTTGTGTATTTATTTCTTACTTATTTGTTACCTCTTCTAGAATATAAGCTCCATAGTGTCAGGAATGATACCCACTGTGTTTATAAAAAATGCCTCAACAAACTATGCACTCAATAAATCTTTAGCAATAAGGAAAGAATGAAAATTACATGAAATACATTAAATATAAATAAATACAAATATGTAAATATGATAAAATAAATATATTTTTATATATTAATAGATTGATGCTACAAAGATATTAAAATAATATACTCACTCTCCATTCAGACCAGGTGCTGGGATCAAACCTGGAGAGTCACAAAAACAAACAACCCAAGACTGAGATGGGATGTGGTCTGTCCTGAAATCTGGACCAGATTGATTTCTCTCTCTGGGAACAATTGCATTATGAGGTGGGGAAGCTGTCCTTCGGTGGGGTCACAAGTGGACAAGATGTCCCAGTTCCTAGGGTCTTGGGAGGAACATGGGTACAGACCATAACAGACAGGAAGGCAAGGACTAAGATGAGCTTCATTTTGCAGCTACAACATTGACAGAGAGAAATAAGACTTTCTTCTCTTCCCCAAACACCTCTCCAGTTATGACCAGGCCATGCAAATTCTCTTGCCAGCATCCATGACAGCTCAAAGCCCCCATATGCTGACAAAGCAGCTAGGGTAACCCTATGGCAACCGGAAGGTAAGTGACCTGTGAGACTGGAAGACAGCACATTATGATCCAAAAGAATATTATGGAGATTTATCATCACATTTTTGCATGCATTCATTATTTCTTTCATCTGTTAATCACTTGCACTAAAATTTTAATTGAACATTTATTGTTATATTGATATGGGCGCCTAACCCCTGTTGTGGAACTAGTATAGACATATCCACCATGGTGAGAGACCAATGGACTGATGGTGTTCAAAGCACCTGGTTCTACTGCCAGTTTGCAAAGCCCTTTAATGGTAAGATTTGTGCTAACACTTACTGGGCCCCCATAGTGCACCAATCTCTGTGGTAGGTGCATACACCTATGTCAGCTTATCTATCTTTACACCACCCTGGAGGTGAGTGTTATTATCCCTTAATGCAGATAGAGAAGTTGAGGCTCAGAAGGAATAAAGAAAGAACACCCTTGTGATGGAAAGAGCAGATTCTTAGCAGATTCTGAGGGTCTGTTATAGTCCAGGCTCTGCATTGGGCCTGTGCTTGGATACAATTATTTTATTTCACAATATGAGTTCTATCTGCTCGGTTGGTCTAGCTTCCAGAAAGGAGATGGGGCAGGAGGTAAAAAAAGGAAAGTGGGGCTGGAGGATGTGAAAACAGTCACCCCAGGCTTGTTGTGAAGAGTCTCCTGCCTGGCTCTTTGATTCTTTCATCCCAGACTGGCCTCCACTCCTCTCTCCCCCGGGCGCATATTCTCACCTTCGTGACCCAGGCGAGCCTTTTTTACTGTGTCTTCTTTGGAAGGATAACAAAAGTATTTTCACTGGTGCTGTTGTCATGTGATCAAAGCATAGCTCGGGAAATGGGGTCCCTCGAAAGCTGTTTATCTAAAATCTCTTATTTCACTGGTTGGAGCATTTTAAGAGAACATTCTGCCCCTTCTCTCCCAAGGGCAAATATTTCAGTTACCTGGGTAGTGGGAGCCAGGCTGAGGCCACACATACTTTGCTTAGTAAAGGAAAACACGGCCCCTGTCAGAACGTTTCCCTTTGGGCGCCCTTGCCCAGCCCCCAGCCCAGCCTGCTCCAGGCGCAGGACGGCCTCACCTCCTCTCTCACGGGGGCGTTTGAACAGTTCAAGGGGGGAAGATTTAAAGACAAAAAGCTCTGAACCCAAGCTTAGGTGGGGAGTGTTTTTTATTACTGATAAAACACAGAATCCCTTTTCTGGGTTATTCAGATGAACCCAGAGTAAATATTTATCGTTTCAGCAAATGGGTCTGTTTGGAGGCGCTCTGGGACTCCCAAACAACTGAGCTGATGGATCACTGGGCTTCCCCGGGCCAAGGGTAGGACTGGGCACAGTTGTTTGGCACAGGGAACCCTTTTCCTGCGGCACACCTGCCGGCGTGTGTATGAGGCTTAACATTTCCTCTTTGTGCCAGAGTTGGTGGGTGAGAGGGAAGGCCTTGCTGGGACCTCCCACCTCTAGCTCCGAATGATTTAATAGTCATATTGTCAGTGTTCCCAGAGCAAACAACCGCCTACCTCTGAGGAGAAGGAGAAAGATGGGTGGCCGGGCCTGCACCCCTCCACGAGTTCTGAATGCCCTGCTTTCTTCTTCTGTGGTCTCAAGGGGATGCAGGGTTCACCCCCCTTGGGCCCAACACACACAGGAACATTTACATACATGAATAAATGAAAAGGATCCATATGGATACACTACACTGAGAGATTTTTGAGGGTGGAGGCTATTCCTTATTCATATTTGTGTTCACATATTGCCTAGCAATGCCTGGTACAGAGCAGATGATTAATACATACTTTTTGAATGAATACACAAATAATTAAAACCATTTATTGAGCACTTAATAGGTGCCAGGTGTTGAAGAAAGTACTTTATAAGCATTTTTTAACCCTCCCAATGGACCACTGACCTTGGTGCTGTTACTCTCCCCATTTCACAGATAGGGGTGACTTGGCAAGACCAAGTATTTAATTCAAGGTTACACAGCCAGTCGGTGGTAGCAGGAGATGTCTGACTCCACACTTTCCTCTACAAACTTATCTACCCAAAGCATAAGTTCAAAGTATTTCTACAATTGTCACATACAAATAACAGTAGTTTTATCACCAAGATGCTAAAACCCTACCTGGAGGCCTTGATTAGGCAGTGTTTCTGTCTCAAACATTTCCTTTTTGTCCATTCTCCTATCCCCAATTTTCAGAAGTGGAATGGAGATACCAGCTTCAGAGAAAAGATTTTAATACTGAGCAACAGTGCAAGAACCCTGGTGCTGGCCCCCTTCCAGCAGCACAGATATTTTCCTGAGGAGAACTGGTGGGCTCCTGGCTGTATCCATTTTCTGTCACTGCCAAAATAAATTGTCCCAGACTTAGCACAACGCAACACTCATTTATCACCATGTGGCTTTGTAAGTCAGGAGTGCTGGGCCGGCGAAGCTGGGCTCTACTCAGGGTACCGCGACCGCAATGGAGGGATGGGCTGGACTCCTACCTGGAGCTACTGGGGGAGAACTTCCTTTCAAGCTCCTTCAGGTGTTGACGGAATTCAGTCCCCTGCAGGTGTAAGATGGAGGTCCCTGTCTGCTGGCAGGCTGGGGGCCAGGGACTGCAGTTTGTTCTGAGAAGCTGCCCACATGCCTTCTCATGTGGCCCCTTCCATCCTGAAACGGGCAAAGAATACCAGTTCTTTCTCTTGTTGGAAACCTTCTGACTTTCTCTTTTGCAACCAGATGAAGAAAATTCTCTACTTTTAAAGGCTCCTGTGATTAGATTATGACTATCTGGATAACCTCTTTTTAAGGTCAACTGTGCCATGTGACATAATCATAGGAGCAATTCACAGGCTCAGGGGATTAGGGTGGGGGATCTTGGGGACCATTTCTAGAAATAATTCCTGCCATACTGCTCTTGCTTATAACTGAGGGCAAGATAGGTGAAAGGATTATGGGGAGGCAAAGGGGACCGAATCAGGTGTGCCTTGTGTGGATAAAGTGAAGGTTCCTATGGCCAGGATTCTCACCTGGCCCTGGTCAGCTAGCTCACTACACAAGTGTGGGCAATACATTGTTATTGACTATATAAAGAGCTCCGCCCAGGGCTCGGTACAACACGGTGGCACTGCTGCAAGGCTGCAGGAGAGCAGAGCAGAGGCTGGAGTGGTGGCAGTGCTGAGGACAGAGAGGCCAAGAGGTGGAAACTGGCTTGCTGCATGCAAACTTGCTCTGAGGGAACAGGATTTTAGTGACTGACCTGCCACTGTGGAAATAAAGTTGGGTATAAACCCTTTCACTCCAAGAACATTCTACTGTCATTCCTTTGGTCACACTGAATCCACAGTGAACTTGCTCGGGGCTGAAACCCGTTGGCAAGTCACCTTGGTAGTGGCCTACCCCATTCAAGAGTCTGCCGAAGCAGAATGGAGGAATTGCATCAAAACTTCAAAATCAGGTGAAGCACATCAGGACAGAGAAAAAGGAAAAGGAAGGTGGCACTTACTACGCTTTTGATAAATGTGTATCTGTGAACTATAGTGTTACATAGAGGAAGGGAAGGGAAAAGAAACCTTCACACATTACTCGGTTGCATAAGAACAGTTCACGTGTGTGTGGAGTCCTTTCTGTGCTCCAGTTCTAAGTGCTTTACGTCTTTTAATTATCTTCAGATAAGTGTATGATATTTGGATATTATCTCCATTTTACAGATGAGGGGCAAGTAGATTAAGGAAATTACTAAACATTGCATAGCTAATGATTTTTATAGACAGGCGTTGAAAGCAGACAGCCTGGCTTCTGAGATAGCATGCTCAACCTTTATATTGTATGCATCATAGCCTATTATACAGTATGCATCTGGAATCATAGCCTTTTAGGGATCCATTCATGGAAGAAAAGTCCAGGTCAAAAACTGGAACATAAAATAGATGTCTGTGGATTTGTGACACCTAAGCCAGAGGTCAGACAGGTCTGGTGGAGAGAGCCTGGGATTTCAAGTAAAGATCTGGTGCCCAGTGGCAACCATGAAAATTACGGAGGTTGTGACCTTGGGCAAGTCGTTTCAGTTCTCCGAGCCTGTTTCCTCATTTATTACATGGGGACATTAACATCTGCTCCTCAGTTTTTAAGTTGTCATGTAGTTCAGTGGTGTGCAAACATCATTTTAATGGGGTATATAAAGCTAAAATAGTATTTCCATCTGATGTGTGTGTTTTGTTTCTTTCAGATCCCTGGGATTATGTGCCGCCAAGATGGAAAGACTTGTCCGGTAAGAACATCTTTTATATCTTCAGACCTTGGTTCTTGCTACCTACGCGTTTCATGTTAATCCTTAAAAAACTGATTCGTTCTGTTTTGTTCATGGTGCGCCTTTGTTTGTTACCCTTTGCACATGTAAAGAGGGGCTAATGCCCCTGAGGAATTCCATCAAACGTCAGTAGAGGGCATATTCATACAGACTGTGGGGGAAGAGAAAGTGAAGGTGGGGGAGAGTCGGAGCAAAGTCTAGCAGGAGACAGATAAAGTCAGGCTTCTCCAGAAAATCAGGACCAAGAGGATATACATAAGAGGAGATTCATTACAGGAACTGACTCACATGATTATGGAGGTGGAGGAGTCCCACCATCTGTGGTCTATAAGCTGGAGGCCACGGAAAACCAGTGGTGTAATTCAGTCCCAGTCCAAAGGTCTAAGCACCAGGGAGCCGATCTCTTGAGCGCAGAAGGAGTTGGATGTCCCAGCTCGAGCAGAGGGCGAATTCATCCTTTTCTCCGCCTTTTTGTTCTATTCCGACCCACAACTAAATGAGTGATGTCCCCCCAATTGGTGTGACTTTACTCAGTCTAATGATGCAAATGATAATCTCTTCCAGAAACATGGACACACCGAGAAATAACATTTTACGAGCTATCTGACAGCCCATCTGTTAGCCAGTCAAGTTGACACATAAAATTAACCATCATGTGGCAGGAGGGACAGGAAAAGCTGAGTGAAATTCTGTGGGCTCTTACTTTTCTCCACAGATGGGTAGAAGGGGTGAACGGGAAGACTGGGGAACTCAGGGGAAAAAGTGATGGTTAGAAACAACTGTTTTGGAAAAAAGGAAAGGAAATGGTGCAGACACATGTTAAAGAATTCTCAAGAAACAGTTAGAGCTTGGCTGGGGTTGGAAATCATAAATTTGTTATGAAGTCAATTAGCATGATTATGAAATTTTCCTCCAATAATTCACAGCTGGGGAACAGAAGCCAAACTCCCCAGTGTTCTCTTGAAGCTCAGAAAGAAAAAATATTTATCTAGCATCAACAATTCATCTCTTCATTTCTACAAAAATATTTATTGAATACCTACTATGTTCGAGGCACTGTTCCAGGCATTGAAGATGGAGTAATAGCAAGACAGAACAATTTTATTTCCAGCTTGCAATTTGTGGTAAGAAACAGAATGGTAAATAGACAAATTAATACATAATTAAGGTAATTGTAGATTGTGATTTATATGTAGTCAACTGTGCATGTGTATACTAACATTCACATCTAAATACATATGTACATATCAATATATACATATGTTGCTGTGTACATGTGTACCTATCATCACATTGATCACAATAGCTTGTGAACTCATTTTATAGATGAGGGTCAGAAAGGTTAAGGATCTTTCTCAAGGTCACATGGATCAAAGCCAAGCTTTGAACCCAGATGCCATGACCCTAGGCCAGTGCTCATTGTATTATTTTGTCAAGATATTCTACTGAGCTCTCTGGAGTTTGCAGTCTTCCTGGAGGAGCTCTAGGATATTAAGAGAGGGGCAGCAATGCGGGCAGAGTAGGCTCTGGTTAAGCTTTTATCAATATCCTACCAGGAAAGTACGGGTAGCATTTCCTTGCAAGCTGCTTGAAGATGGTGTTGATCTTCCCTTGATGGCAGTTATTCTCTTATTCCTAGTTAAGTTCCCCAGGCTCAGCAGATGGGCACATAGTAGGTCCTCCCTACATTGTTAATTGAATCGATCAATTCAGGTGTTAAAATGCACCCAGCAAGGGGTATGTGGGGAGGACTTGGTGAAGGGGGGAGCCTAGTAAACATAATGTTCTTCATGTAATTGCAGATTAATGATACCAAAATAAAAAAAAATAAAATGCACCCAGCAAATGGTAAGAGTTCCATCAACATTGTTATTATTGCTATGGTTATTGCTTTCTTCTTGCAGGTAAACTCATGACTTAAAAATCAGGAAGTCCTATATTAGTGATCTATATGAGGGAGGGTTTCTAGTGGTTTATTTGCCTTTAAAACAGGCAATTTCCTAGGCTCTCAGGTATATGCCCTTAGAGGAAAGAGACTCCCTTTGTCGATTGCTCTTGAGGAGGCATTTGCTGAGTACACGGGAGACCATTTAATGAGCTGAAACCACAGCCGCCTCTGTTTTACTTCTCTGACTTAAAGGAAAGAGCAGTGTTGTCTCTTTTCCCCTCAAAGACCTTCATGTTAACATTCCAGCTCACTCAGCATCACCTGAGTCAGCACATCCTTGCAAACGATGGGCTACTTCAGTGAACAAGCAAAATGGTTTATTTATAAGCCTCTTTCCCAACTGGGATCCTGGGAAAACTGCTGTTCTCAGAAGTAAATAAAGGTCAGGATGCCTTAATATATACTCAATGGAAAGTCTAGCGATGGTTCTTTTGTGATGGGTGAGCCTGGGAACTCTGAACTCTTCCTGGGTATGTCAACATACAATTCTAGGGGAGAATGTGCCACATTGAGACCCTCTCAGCAAGTTTCTTATCCCCTGCTCCCACCCTAGTTGACTCTCAATATGTGGACTGTTGCAAGTTTCTTAGCTGGTCTGTCCGCTTCACTCTCTGCCCACCCTCCCTTCATTCTATTTACCAAGGATGGTCTATATTCCTTATTCACAATTCCTACCACTTCAGCTCCTCTTTCATAAAGCTGAAGGCATCACATAAAAATTATCATTGGTTCTAATTGTTAGCCACGTGGTGAACAATGGGCATAATCACTTTTGTCTGTTTGTATTTACACCTCAGTTTCTAGAATGTTTGAATTCTTTATATCTGGTACAAAGATGACATCAAGAATATTGGTTGAATGAATAAATTATATTATTTTATCTTCAGTACTATCTCGTCTGGTATATAATATGTATTCTTTACAGGTTTCAATCTGAGGTTGATAATGGCTAAGTAAATTACCCAAGATGGTTGGAGAGACCCAGATTTAAAATGCAGGCCTACCTGATTTCAAAGCTCATTTGTTTAGCCAATATCCAATTCTGGCTCAGAATGACATTTAAGCAGCTTCCCTAAATAACCTCACACAAGTCTAGTCCCTTGTCTGCTCAAGTTCAAGAAAAACCCATGACCTACTATTGTCAGCATGCTTCCCATGTTGGTCCTCACTTTATTCAAATCCTACTCATCCTTAAATTCCCGTCACACCCACCATCTTCTCCAAAAAGCCAATCCAGATGGTCTCTACAATAGACCCTCCTTTGAATTCCTACCACCAGCTCAGCCAAGACTCACACTTGGATGCTAACTAGTTGCATGGTAAGATGATTCTCAGGGAGTGTCTTATTAGAGGCTTATAGTCACCAGAGGGTCTGATAAAGGGCTGGACACCAGGCAGGATCTTAGTAAATGCTTTTTAAACTAAATCATGTTACATGTGGTATCAAACCCTGTCAACTTCTAGTTTTCCCCATCAGCAGTAGTGAGGGAATATTTACCAGAAAGGACATTCTCCAGTCTGAGAAAATGTCGCAAGCCAGACAGCAGTTTGGACCAGTCCCAAGGAGCAAAGTTCCTCATTGCCTGGGTCGGGACTGGAAAAGGAGTTTTTTTCCTGTGCTTCTGGGCATTACTCCCAGACTCCCCGAATTTTTGAAATTGAGCTTCTGGGAACGCAAAGTACACACATGACTCCCCAATCCCAACACACATAGGCACACACCCATTCCAGGGAACTTCAGCACAACCAGCCTTGTGACCAAGAATCCGAGAGCAGGGGTGATGTGGAGACATGCACAGCAGAACCACATCAGTGCAGTTTTTAGTGTGGGTTTTGTGTTGCTGAAAAGCAAGGCAAGAGAGCGGCCTCACAAGTGAAATGTTGGCGATATTTCTGTTGCATTGATTTGTAAATCATCAAATGGAATCCTAAATGCCAAGGCCTGTAAACCTATTGCCACTGCTCAGTCCTTCCCTTGTAAGGTTGGCAGAGTTGCAAGCTGGGATAACACCAAGGTATTTTTAGCAGTGCGTATTGATTTTTTGTCCTTGGAAGCTACTATATTCTATTATAACCCAAAGACAACCAATGAGAAAACCCAGCTGTGGCAACATCTCATTTAAGGCAACAGCATAAGGATGACATTAAAATAATCATACGTTAGGCAGTATCTGAAGTTATAGTACTTGGATATTCTGGCAGAAAGCCTCACTCTTGAATGCTTTGCTTGCTGAATAATGTGTTTTGACTGAGTATTCGATAGCAAAACTATTAGGTAAATGAAAAATTTAAGATGCACACTTACATGATAGCAAAGCATAAGCAAGGGAGGATAGTCAATGATAACTGCCATTGGTGAAAAAGTCAGAAAAACCTGAAAATGTATATATTCATTACAAATGTGTTTGCTCTCTAGGCTTTCTGTTTGCATCAGTAACATCATCCTGCAGGAGTTGAAGTGACTTGTCTTAAACCTCTGCTGCCCTGTACCTGTGCAGTACCAGGGAGTCTATGATCTAGATTTTGTGAATTTTCTTGTTCTAAAAAAAACACTGAGATGGGCAACCTCTCCTCTTTTTCCCATTAACCACATCTACCATCAAAGCTTTCTGTGTCCAGCCTAGAACACTGTCATATCCTGTGTCTGTCTTCTCATTTATTGCCTTTTTGTGTAGGAGGAATATTTTCTTCTCCTTCTAGAGTTTCCACCTGGGTCCGTACAACAGACTCTTTGCACTGTTCTCTAGGAAGTAGCATTGACCCTTCTCTCCACTTCTGCTCTCATTTCTCCCCACGGGAGGGGGTGTTATCAAAAGGGTTCATGAAATTAGTAAGGTATTAAGTATGCATGATGGAGGCCTCTTTCCTCCTTTATTTTGCAAATTAACTTGTTATTGAGACTCACACATTCTTGGCTTCCCTGCTCTAGTCCAGCCTGTTATGAGGAAGCCAGTGGTTCCACAGAAATGTCTTTTTCTCAGGAATTTTATTAGGAAACTTGGTTGTGATAATAGCTCAAGCCATGGTCTCCAACCCAGTTTTATCCATAGGACACAGTTAAGTTTGATCTCCAGTTACCTGTCTTCTAGATTGGTCCTCAGGTTAAAAATACATCAAATTATCACACTAATTTGTTCACTCTCAATTTGTAAATGAGTCTCCAAATGGTTAAAGATCTCTTTCAAGGTCACACAGATATAAAACTCAGAGCCAAGATCTGAACCCAGGTGCTATGACCCAACACCGGTGCCGATTCTGTTGTTTCTCTGACCTGTACTGCTGAGCATTCTGGCCAGGTGTGGGGAGTGAAAGACAGGCGGGGAAAGGACCGGCTGGGGTGGGTGAGAGTGAATTAGAAATGGCCAGAGAGAAGGAGCCAAAGGTGATGAAGACAGAAAAAGGAGGGATGTCCTGGCTTGGAAAA